CATTTTTAGCTGTTAAATGCATTTTTTTGTGTACCTAGTGTCTCTAGGAGTGCAGAAATATTGAATTTATTCTCTCCTGGTGCTGTGTAGATGTCTAATATTCTGTTTGGGTCATATATTTCAAACCATTCAGTTTTCTGAACTATTTTATCAAAGTATTTTCAACAGAACTTGTAAAAAAGGTCTGGACTTACCAACTACAGTTTGGTTGTTTTCATTCTCCTCTGGGTCAGACTCTGGCTCCAACATGTAAGGCTGGACGGACAAGTCTTTCCTTGTTGACATCTTTGAATTAATTTGTAAGGAAAGAAAGTTAATGCACTGCTATATAGTTGTAAACCCTCTATCAAACTGCAATGGACCGGTCCGGAAGCTGGAGGGGGCGGGGCATGAACAGCTTCTCTTGGATTTAAAGAGACAGCCTCAAAATGAGTTGATCTGAGACACACCTCAGTAAAAGGGGTGAAAGAGGGGCTTGTGGAGTTACAGTAAGGAGGAATTCAGACCAAAACATTAAAGTCCCACTTTATATAGACCCCAGCTGAAGGATTTAAATGTGAAAAAGAAGGATTTTAAAGCATATGTCTCCTTTTTAATGTTTACAAATCCTGTTTTTCTCTCCAGGATTAATAGACTACAACTTCCACTGTTTCCGGAAGGCCATCCACGAGGTGTTTGAGGTGGGCGTTTCTGCCCAGCGACCGTTGGGCTCGCAGGCGGTGGGCTCGCCCTGCAACAAGGCCGTCGCTGTGAACGGCACGCCGCGCAACACTGTTTAATCCCCAACACAAGATGTTTTAAAAAAAAATTTAAAAATAAATAAATAAATAATAACAAACAGATGCAAAATAAAGGTGGAGGAAAGAAATGATCAGGGAGCCTGTAGAGGAGAGACTACAACACTGGGGCTCACTAGTACACCAGTCACAACCCCCTCGCTCCCAGTACCTAAAGCCCTGAAAGATGCCTCGAGCAAAACAAGGAGGAGGAGGAGGAGGAGGCCAGGCATCTGTTTCAGGTGAAGCATCCTGTTGGCTGTGTGGAAGTTGAGAATCTGCTCCTGAACAGGAAAAAAAAAAACAAAACAGGTTCGGCTTCTTTTCTTTTCTGAAGAGGCTGTGATGATTAGCTGCTGGTTCTTTTTTTTTTTTCTTCTTTTTTCTTGAACAATGTGAGGAGGAATAAACAAAAACAACAACACATTCTGACCTCTGCTGGACAAACGGACTCTTTGTCTGGTGACAAGCCCGACCACTTCTGTGCTGAGGAAGSCGGACCTCTCGTCCGAACCCGCCGCGCGTTCAGAGATGGCCTTACGCAGAGAAAGCTTGACGGCAGCGYGAGCTTTTTCTCACCACCGCTCACCTCACTGTAACCCGACGCTGCACACATCTCACTTTTTTTGGTTTCACTTGTGAAGGGTTGGTGAGCGAACTGAGCAGGGATTGTGCTGTCCAGCTTACTGTGGTGTGTGTGTGTGTGTCTGTGGGTGTGTGGGTATGCATGTGTGAGTTTCAATAAAATGGTGTTGACGTAATCCCAGCCTGCAGCGAAGGACCGTTCACTTAGAAGATGTTTCTTCTTGGTAACAGCAGCTCATAATTCAACTTTTTCAATCAGTGAAAGTAAGTTCAATAAAAACTCTTGCTTTTGGCTTTTAAGATTATAAAGAAACGTTTAGTTGGACATTTGAAGCTAAGTCTTTGTTAAAACACTGCCAAACGATTAAAAGAAATGATTTATAATACGCCACGATTTGATTTAAAGGAAAAGAGATGAGGTGCAGGACTGATAAAGACGTAGGCTCATCATTTAAACAGATTTCAGTTTGCATGTGTTTCGCCCTACGCTTTCAGTCCTGCTCAAAGTTATTCATTTGTTTTGTTTTGTTGTTGTTTTTCTTGAGTTCTGACCGCAAAGGYTCACAAGAACATGACGTTCTCATTCCAAGCATGTTTACATCCGTGTGTTAACTTGTGTTAATCTCAGCTGTAACACTGCTCATTGTAATCGAAGATGAAAAATAAAGTGATGCATTTGGAGAAAAAAATGGACTAATTTTCATTTTAATTGTCATAAAAAATATAACTCAGTCTTTGTTTGCGCAATTGAGATGATTGAGAATTATGACCAAGCATTCTTGGAATAAATGCATATTGCCTGTAGTCCAGTGGTTCTTTATTTTTTCGTCATGCCTCCCTGGGAATTTTTTTTCTCATCCCACTCCCTGAATTCAAATATAAACCTAATAATATTTAATTATCTGTGCAAACYACTGTTTCTGGCACCAACATGGTGGGTAAACTTCATTATGTAAAATAAGTTTTATTACCTTTTACCTCTTAAATTTGTTCATTTTGCATTGATTAAAATAAAATAGATTTAAAG